AATCAGGAATATTAGTTCGTAGTTTTCTTTTTTGTTGAGACTTGTTTGCTTTTGGTATGAAGATAATGCTGAGCTCATGGAATGAATTAGGCAGAATTCCCTCCTGTTCAATGTTTCAGAATAGATTGGAGAAAATTGGCGTTAGATCTGTTTTGAAAGTTTGGTAGAATTTGGCAGTGAAACCATCTGGCCCTGGACTCTTTATTTGGGAGTTTTTAAATTACTGCCTCAACCATTTTATTATTGGTCTGTCCAAGTTTTCTATTTCTTCTCGTTTCCCTCTTGGTAGGTTGTTTGTGTGTAACAATTTATCCATTTCCTCTAGGTTTTCTAGTTTGTTGGTGTATAGTTGTTCAAAATAGCTTCTGGTGATGTTATATATTTCTGTGGTATCAGTTGTAATGTTTCCTTTTCCATTTCTTATTTTTTATTGGATTATTTTCTCTTTTACTCTTGGTTAGTCTAGCAAGTGCTTTATCAGTTTTATCTTTTCAAAAAACAAAACTTTTTGTTTCATCCATCCTTCGCATTGTTTTTTAAGGCCCAATTTGTCTAGTTCTGCTCTGATCTTCATCATTACTTTCCTTTTACTGATGTTGGGATTGGCATGTTTTTGCTTTTCTAGTTCCTTGAGATATACATTAAATTGTTTATTTGAAATCTTTATGATTTTTTGGTGTAGGTATTTATTGCTTTTGCTGTATCATAAAGGTTTTGGTGTAGATACATATTGCTTTTGCTGTATCATGAAGGTTTTAGTGTATTGTGTTTTTATTTTTTTTTAAGATATTTTTGGATTTCTTCCTTAATTTATTCTTTGCCACAGTAGTCATTCAGAAGCATGTTGTTTAATCATTTATTCTTACAGTTTCAAAGTTCCTCATGTTATTGACTTCTAGATTTATTCCATTGTGGTCTGACGATATACTTGATATGACTTCGATTTTTAAAAAATTTGTTGAATCTTATTTTGTGTTCTAACATGCTCATTCCTAGAGAATGTCCATGTGCTGATGAGAAGAATTTGTATTCTGTAACTGTTGTATAAAGTGTTCTTTAAACGTTTGTTAGGTCCATTTGGTCTAATGTATGGTTTAAATCCAATGTTTATTTGTTAATTTTCTGTCTAGATTATCTGTCAGATGCTGGCAGGGGGTGTTGAAATCCCAACCATTATTGTATTGGAGTCTGTCTCTCCTTTTAGATCTAATAATATTTTATTTATATTAACATATCTGAGTGGTCTGTTGTTGGGTGTATATATATGTAGAATTGTTATATCCTCTTGCTATAATTGATCCATTATCATTATGTAATGACCTTCATTGTCTCTTTATACTGTTTTTGACTTAAAGTCTTTTTTATTTGATATAAATATAGTGACTTCTGGTTTCCATTTGCATCTTTTTCCATCCCTTTGCTTTCAGTCTTATATGTCTTTATAGGTTAGATGGGTTGCTCGTACCCAGCATGTAGTTGGGTCATGATTTTTTATCTATTACCAGTCTATATCTTTTAAGTGTAAAGTTTAATCCATTTGCATTCAAGTTATTCAACAATGAAAACTTCCCAAGTCTAGTGCAAGATGGAGACCCCCAGATACAGGTTACTCAGAGATTCCCCAAACAGATACAATACGAAAATGTCTTTCACACAGCACATTGTAGTCATATTGTCAAAAGTAAAAGACAGAGTGAATTCTAAAAGCACCAAGAGAAGAATGACTAGTCACTTATAAAGGAACCCTCAGCAAAATAAAATTTTTACCTGTTCACATTCTGATTTACAGAAGGAGTTTGAACTTGCTTTGTAAAATAAGCAGATAATTAACATTGTTTTGTTTTTGTTTTTAGTTTGAAAAAGTATTGATCATCATGATTGTTAGATTTAAAGATTTTGCAATTCTTATATTTTGGGAGATGCTACAGTATATATTCAGAAGAACTCAGGACTAGGTTATAGGACACTTGGATTCCCTTGTGTGAATCTAGCAACCTTTTTCACCCTTAGATAATGCACATGATTATCTTTAACTTTTGAATGAAGTGAGCATGGATTTTATTACTTCTGGTTTCTTTAACCGCTCCTGATTCCCATCATAGCCAGTGACATCTCCAAATGGACATTGACAGTTTTTTCCTTACCCTGACTCCTGTCTGCCCTTCTGAGTGCATGGACCACACCAAGGGAGTGGTCTATCTTGAAAGATGTGAAATGAAACATGTAATTGAATTAAAAATAGTAAATATTCTTCTTTCCCAGGAGCGATTGCTCCTAGGTAATGATGAGGAGCAATGAAATGACCAAAGAAAAAGGAATAATATACTAATTTGAGTACAACCATAATTCTTACACCTTGATACCTATACTCCCGAAAAAAACACCCTTCCTTAAATTCCTCACACGCACCTAAATGACACATGTCTTAGCTGGACTGACTACCCGGGTTCAGATCCTGGCTCCCCTGTATTCTCTCTTAGATAAATTAATTATCTTCTGCATGTCTCAGTTTTCTCATCTGCAAAATGGGTGCAACACTATTAGCATCTATCTCCTAGGGTGGTTGTGGGGATTCAATTAGTTAATACATTAAAAATACAAGAGAGCTGAAATACATTATGTCCTATATAAGTATTAGGTAATATTACTATAATTATTGTCTTTCTAAAATTTAATATACTGATGTAAGTTGGAGTTACTGGATGTGGCTCATTTCTAGGGTAAAAAGTTGAATTTTCCTGCTCTAGACATTTCAAATTTCATTTAGTAAAAACCCCAACATGTTTTTGAAACATTCTACCTGTGCCTGCAAAGTCCATTAAATCCTCTGAAGTGAGCCACATCTGCTGTGAGCATAAAAGAAATTGTGCAATGAGGGTAGAGTGGAAGAGTATTTTTCTTTCAGACCCAACTTTGACACTAATTCATGGCAATCTGATTTGTATTCTTGAGCAAATTATTCCAAATGTTAGTCTCTTAACTAAAAAATAATTTGAGAGATTTTTCCAGGAAGAATAATTCTATCATAGTTTATGCAGCCAACGAATACAATGTCATGTTGAGGTCCAAAGGGAGAGGGTGGATGAGCAGAGAGAATACTTGGTGGTGGGGGGGGGTGCGGGGGGTTAGGCAGGAGAAAGATGATTTTGTTCAGCAGCAGCTATCGTCAACAGCTTTCTCACACTGTCTGTCCTGTCTCGGATGCTTAGTCTGGTGGCTCTCACACACATAGCTGCTGGCCCAGTCTCCCTTGCCTTCAGGGACAGCTGCTTGACTATTTTTCTCTCTGGGCATGGGTGAGCCAAGCTATGTCCTGGCTACCAGTGTTCTTCTGAAAAGACAGGCAACTCTGACTCTCTCTCTTTCCCTGGGCACAAGAGTGCCTGTACATTGTCAGCAGGGCAATTACACCTTTTACAGACAATAGTGGCTTAGAGCCAAGTGATGAGTCTTCCCTATGTTATAGCTATGGTGGTGAGCTTCTCTGGTACATATACATGGCTCTGATAACAAGTGGAGTTATATGCCTGTGCACTAAACTCACTGAGTCACTGTGGATGTTTACCTCTGCCTATCCTTGACCAAAGCACAGCCATGTTCCTGACAAAGGGGAAGAAAAAGATTTCATAAATATTACATAATTTAAAACCATAAACACATTACTAATCCCTTTTTCCATAGGTAAACTATCTTTCTCAATGATACATTGTAAGATCTAGGGTGAATGATAGAAGTTCATGGCATTTACTCTTTTGTTATATTTTTATGCCTATTTTTCTTAAACTATTATTTATCAGGGTTCATTGTTAGCTGATTCATCTGGTTCTCATTTAATAATAAAGTCACTAGCTACTGAAGTATATAGGGAACTTTAACCTCCACCCCAAATGACTGTAGACAGTCTTGGTTTAAATGGCTTTTTAAAAAATGGGTTTTCTTTCTCCTCTTGTCTTATGAGCCATCACTTAGTATCATAATCCTCTCTGTCTCCAGCAGTATTTCTGATTTGCTGCCTCTGATCTGCTCAGAAGCTGAATAATTATGCTTGTTACAAGTGTGTTTTTCAAAGAAGTTCTGAGTGAAAACTTCAGTCTCTTCTCATGTGCTCTAGTGAGGCAGGAGGCAGAACCTGAATCCAGAGCAGAGTTGGGATGCTGGACCAAACTGAGGTCAGGGCAGAAGCACCTCCCCATAAGACATGCCCACCAGCGTGCCATGTCAGTTTACCATTTCCATGGCAACACTCAGAAGTTACCACCCCTTTCCATGGCAACAGCTCAACAATCCAGAAGTTACCACCTCATCCTAGAAATTTCTGCATAAATCATTCCTTAATTTGCATATAAATAAAGAAGCTTTAAATATGAGTGCATAGCTGCCATTGAGCTGCCACTCTGGGCACACTGCCTATGGGGTAGGCCTGCTTCACAAAGAGCAGCACCTTTGCTGCTGCTGTAAACTGCTCCTTCAATAAACATTGCTGTTTAACATCTCCGGCTTGCTCTTGAATTCTTTCCTGGGCAAAGCCAAGTACCCTCCTGGGGAAAGCCCCAATTTGGGGGCTTTCCTGTTCTGCATCACTAGTGCCTTCCTGCTCAAAGAGGGGCCCTCAGACCAGCATTGGTACTGCTTTCATCAGAAAGGCAGAAGGTTGGGTCTCCCTCCAGACCTACTCAATCAGAATCTACATTTTAACAAGATTCCCAAGTGATTTGTGTGCACATTAAAATTTGAGAAGCCCCACTTTAGCACATCACCTTTGTGACAGTTAATTTTCCCAACGAGATGATTTTTTAAAAGCCAAAAGATTTATATGATATGAAGAGAAACCAGAATAGTGATCCTTTTTTAGCTTACAAATTGTGTCTTACTATGCTCTCTGTTATACAATGTGGTGAAACACTTTACCTCTAGAAATACAGGACATTATTACAATGTCTAGAAGTGTTTTAATGTTCAGCAATAGGTAATTGATGACCATTTTATTTTCTCTCCCTTAGGATATTCTTGGAGATCTTGGAAGAGTCTGTAACATGGAATCAATCTCTATGATGGGAAGCCCTAAGAGCCTTAGTGAAACTTTTTTACCTAATGGCATAAATGGTATCAAAGATGCAAGGAAAGTCACTGTTGGTGTAATTGGAAGTGGAGATTTTGCCAAATCCTTGACCATTCGACTTATTAGATGTGGCTATCATGTGGTCATAGGAAGTAGAAATCCTAAGTTTGCTTCTGAATTTTTTCCTCATGTGGTAGATGTCACCCATCATGAAGATGCTCTCACAAAAACAAATATAATATTTGTTGCCATACATAGAGAACATTATACCTCCCTGTGGGACCTGAGACATCTGCTTGTGGGTAAAATCCTGATTGATGTGAGCAATAACATGAGGATAAACCAGTACCCAGAATCCAATGCTGAATATTTGGCTTCATTATTCCCAGATTCTTTGATTGTCAAAGGATTTAATGTTATCTCAGCCTGGGCACTTCAGTTAGGACCTAAGGATGCCAGCCGGCAGGTATGTATTTTAAATTTTTATGCTTATTTATCTGGTATTTTGTAGTTAGACAGCTAAGCAAATATCAAACATTTTAAAACCAAATTCTAACACTTTCCAATGATTATCATCTGAAAACTAAGTATGAGCACCTGAAGATTAATGTTCTGACCTTGTAAGGGCACATTTCCATTCTCAAAATGATGTGGAAAGCTGGGAAAATATCGTGAACTTCATCCAGTTCAACTTGAGAATAAGGCAAATGGGGTGCTCTGTCAGCGCCGTTGTGGAATGAGCTTTTATAAACACATAAAATATGTTTTAAAAATCTTTTAAATGTGCATATGCATTACAGTTAAGCATGATTATAAAACACTTCTACTGTTTTTGTCCGTAAAGACAGTTGATTAGGTTCTTTAGAAAATAAGTTTAAGTGTTATATCATTGTATGCTGCATATCAGTCATGATAACCGTTTACTTTCCAGTCTTTATTTTAATGACCAGCAAAAGAATATTTCTGAATCCCTTTTTTTTTCTTTTGCATATCCACCAAAGTTTAGCAGTGGACATAGAATAAGCAAATTAGAAATAAGGACTGGTGAGACAAACTTGAATTTAATCATATACCCATATTTATACCAATTTAAAATTTTTAACAGAAAAGAATGTTGAACAGTGATTAAATTCAAAATGAGCTACAGAAATAGTCTAAATTTGTATTTTGTAGTGCTTGTGCCATTATTTTGAATGTTTGGTTTAGTTTTAGTCTTATTATACCATATTATCATTTATACAAAATTTTTTCCAAATGCATTTTAAAAAGTTTATCTCAACATTGTAACAACTGTAATAAATTAATTTAGAATACTTTTTTCTGACTTCTTTGTTATAAAAGGACCTATATTTTAAAGTTCACAAATGATTACATAATGCTCATTCAAAAAGGATTTGTCATTCATCTGGCTAATGTTATCTAAGATTAATAATCCAAAGGGTGTTATATTGTCACCATTATGTAAATAGGTTTACATGCAAATATTTCTATATAATCTATTTCAGAGTCCTTATACAAACATCTTCAGGGATATATTTAGGGATTTGTTTTCCCCAAACATTACTTGGAGACTTTATAGCAATATTTTTCTAGTCCTGAATGAGGTGGCCTACCCATTAATAAGAGTAGCTCACTCCAGTAATGAACTTGGTGCTCAACAAATAGTTGTTGAATTTTCAACTATATTACAGTATCTAACAGATTTCAATAGTTTGAAAGCCTACCCTCATCTCTACCCATCACGTCATTAGAGTTTCTGTAAAAGTAATATCTTAGGCTTAGAAAAGGACAGTTGCTTTTCTATTTAAATTAATTACGCCTTATAATTCTTTTTACTTGTCAGGTATATCATTATTTAGAGGTGAAAGAATTTAATATACTGACCAATGAAATAATATGCCTGAGATTATTAGGGTTTTTTCAGAGATACTTGGTGTATTGGTTTCTAAGCCTAAATTTTATTTAAAACCTTATTAAATTTTATTAAAAATATAGCACTATGACATAATTTAAAGATTTTAATTGCAGATGTCATCATCCAAAGTGCATGCCCACTTTCACTCATGTTAAATATCAGTAAAGGGCAGTGTTTGCACTAGACAGAACCGCCACAGTCTTAGAACTACACATTGTCCATAACAGCAGGAGGTGCTGGCACCACACTGTCCCCTTTGGGAATTAAAGAGCTGGAGTGGGGCAGGGGCATGGCCAGCAGCTCAAAGTCCACCTAAACCCCTGGAGAGGAGGCTTTACCTGGCTGCTGCTACTGAACCATGCGGCCTAGAAAAGTATACTTTTCTTTCCACCTGCCTCCCCCCGGGAGCCCCCCTCTGATGATCCAGGTTGCAGCTGCATTTTCCTGCATTTCATTGCCCTGTTAGCATAAGTGGTAAGGACTTTTTGTTTCTATGACACTATTTAAAATCTATTAATAATAGGTTAATATATTCATAAATGTCTTATCCCTGATCTTTAACCATGTGGATCACTCACGGTCATCACAGGTGATACTCCGTAAGTGGAGCATGCGATTGTTACCATTTTTATAAACAATGATAGTAATGCTGAGTCTTTTTGTTTTTCCTACAGGTTTACATATGCAGCAACAATATTCAAGCCCGACAACAGGTTATTGAGCTTGCCCGCCAGTTGAATTTCATTCCCGTTGACTTGGGATCCTTATCATCAGCCAGAGAGATTGAAAATTTACCCCTACAGCTCTTTACTCTCTGGAGAGGGCCAGTGGTAGTAGCTATAAGCTTGGCTACATTTTTCTTCCTTTATTCCTTTGTCAGAGATGTGATTCATCCATATGCCAGAAACCAACAGAGTGACTTTTACAAGATTCCTATTGAGATTGTGAATAAAACCTTACCTATAGTTGCCATTACTTTGCTCTCCCTGGTATACCTAGCAGGTCTCCTGGCAGCTGCTTATCAGCTTTATTATGGCACCAAGTATAGGAGATTTCCACCTTGGTTGGAAACGTGGTTACAGTGTAGAAAACAGCTTGGATTACTAAGTTTTTTCTTCACTGTGGTCCATGTTGCCTATAGCCTCTGCTTACCGATGAGAAGATCAGAGAGATACTTGTTTCTCAACATGGCTTATCAGCAGGTACCGAACATGCTTGTTATTTATCTGATGCTAGTAAAATTATTTTTATTAATATAAATTGTAAAACATAAAATTTTACATACCTTGTAATGGAAATTTGATTTTGGTATACTATGGGAGGTAAAAGAATCGTTCTTTAAACAATGTTTTTGCATAAGAATGATGTGACTAATTCAAAATTATTTCAAGTACAGGCTGCTACCATCCCTTCCCTTACAGAATAAAAGCAGAAAAGTAGAGGGTTGGGATCTCTCCCTTTTTCAATGTTATGATTGCAATGAATGTTTTCAGTATTCAACAATTTATTATTGTAATATTTTATAATTGGCTGTGCTCCACAAAATGATGAGGCAACTGTCATTAAATATATATAATAAAATTGAAACTGGTAAAAATGTAAAACAGAACAGGAAGACACGATCAGGAGAAAAAAGTAGAATATTTCTCTGCTAATAGTATCTACACATCTTCTATTTTGGCTTTGAGATTTTTAATATAATGAGAAAGAAGATGTTATTGTTTACAAGACTCTTATTATCAAAAGGCAGAAAAGATAATAGTTCCAGGGGTGAAGCTTTTCTAGCACTTAGCTCTCGAAAGAAAAAAAACAAAAAGGCCGGGCGCGGTGGCTCAAGCCTGTAATCCCAGCACTTTGGGAGGCCGAGGCGGGTGGATCACGAGGTCAAGAGATCGAGACCATCCTGGTCAACATGGTGAAACCCCGTCTCTACCAAAACTACAAAAAATTAGCTGGGCATGGTGGCGCGTGCCTGTAATCCCAGCTACTCAGGAGGCTGAGGCAGGAGAATTGCCTGAACCCGGGAGGCGGAGGTTGCGGTGAGCCGAGATCGCGCCATTGCACTCCAGCCTGGGTAACAAGAGCGAAACTCCATCTGGAAAAAAAAAAAAAAAAAAAAAAAAAAAAAAAAAAAAGAAAAAAAATCTCAGGGAGCACTTCATGGAAGGGGCTTGATGATGAGGTAGACTATGGTTTTCCTCAATAATTCCCAATCCACGAATGTAATTTAAGAGGTTTCCCCGAAGCTGTTTGGCATGACATTTCTCAGTGAAAGCCAAGAACATTGTATCAAAACAAATGAAATGTGTAAAAGCATGTGCATTTTGTAAGGATCCAAGGCATCATGGTCCAAGTATGTGGCATCTAGATATACTTAAGCTTGTTTCAACAATAAAACCTAAAATAATTTTTTTTAATTCGTAAACTTTAAGCCATCCACTCTCTGAACACACACACACACACACACACTCTCTCTCTCTGTCTTCTTAATGGGATACTAAGCCTTTTATAGTTGCTCAGTTGGCTTCTTTACTTTTTTCCAGTCATTTGCCCAGATCTCACCTTCTCAGTGAGGCCTACACTGGATACCATATTAAATGCTGCTACCTGCCTCCACCCCAACCAGTATCTCCAGTCCCTCTGACTTACCCTGCTCTACCTCTCTTTTTTTAATAGCTCTTACCATCTTCTAATACACTTGATTATTTCCATGTTAAATACATTTATCAGTGTCTGCCTTCCCCCATCAGAATGTAAGTTCATGAGAAGAGGCATCTTTGTCCATCTTTTTCACTGATATATCCCCAATTTCTATACCTGAGCCGAGCATTGTGGACACTCAAACAGCCCATTTGTGGGATGAATGAATGAACTGGGAGGGCAGGTAGATCCAGGGTGTAGTCTCTGAGTACACTGGGGTATGCTGTTATTCTGTATTGTACAGATATCAAATAAGAGGATGGTAAGAACTCTGTGGCCTCTTTCAAGATGATGGTATGATTGCTTCAGGGAACTAATGGCTAAAAAGCAGCTTATTATGTTACATTTCAAGTATATTTTGTCAACTAGAATTGGACAAAGTTAAACTGTTGTTAAATTATAATCTGTTTTTCATTAATAGATACTTAAATCAAAAATTTCAGCTGAAGGACTCCAATACTTGATTTGTACTCTAATTATGAGTGTAAATAGAACTTCTAAAAGTAGTCCCTACACAAAATACCTCAAATTCAGAGTTAACTGTCTGACTTGATTATATACACATTATCAATATAAAGAAAAGACATTTGGAAAAATACTGTATATAAATGACACAATTGGATGGTTGGGAATCATATTGATGAAGCAGTTCAAGTGGATAAATATTTGAGCCCGATAGGCTTCTATAGCCAGGGAAATCACAGCTTTCTAGGAAGAAAATATGAGAAGAAAGATAAAAGAGAGATACATTATTCATGTGAGGGAGGAAGATACTGACGTAGTTTAGAAATTCCCTCCTGTATCCAAGTTGAACTAAGGCCAGACTATATCCCAGATACTCAACCAAGTTTAAAACAGCTTGTAAAAGTACCTCAAAACTAAGTTTAACTGCCAGTAACTTCTTTTGTGTCACCCTAGAACCAACCACTAGGCATTTTATGGTTTTAGACTCCAGAGTCCCTGTCATGATGTATTACAAATTCGATGGCAAATATACAAGGAAATTTTCTGCTCCTCTATTCTAGCACATATACAAGGAAAGAGAAAGTGTTGTCCTCCTTTTGTTTAACTCTCCTTTCCCTTACACCTGAAGCAGTGTCATCCGGTAACAGATTCTCTGTAATGGTTTGTTAGACTAAATGGTACAACTTAAATATGTCCATATATGACCAGGTTCTTCTTATACCAAGAGTGAATGCTGTGCTGAATCAGTTAATGTTCTGCTAAATAAAGAAAATTCACATTTGCTTTCTTGTTAGGTTCATGCAAATATTGAAAACTCTTGGAATGAGGAAGAAGTTTGGAGAATTGAAATGTATATCTCCTTTGGCATAATGAGCCTTGGCTTACTTTCCCTCCTGGCAGTCACTTCTATCCCTTCAGTGAGCAATGCTTTAAACTGGAGAGAATTCAGTTTTATTCAGGTATGTGGGGTTTTGTTTGTTGAAGAATTCGGCAAGATAGGATTTCCTTGTTAAGAACAGCTGAATTTTAAACATGTTTCTTATAATAAGGGTGCCTTTGAGGCTGTATTTATGCATCTAAATACATTATGCTGGAAGCCAGCTTAGGACTGCTCTGGTTAAGTAGGTGAAAGGCCAGTCAGTACATGATTGTACTGGAAGGCTTTAACAGGACTGCCTTCCGGTACACTATGTTAAGAATGAAAAGTTATTTTAAAAGAGAAAAAAACAAAGAAACTGGGGAAGGATGAGCTTAGATCAAACTTAATATTGAAACTCAATTCATTATTAGCCAAGTGAATGAAAAATTATTTTATGTTTTGATTCATTTTGATCTGTCCAGAAAAGTCTTATTAATTTGAACTCAAGTGGAGATATCAATCTGAATATTTTAAAGAAATGTGTGTGTATACACACACATACAAACACAAGCAGTTGCAAACTAGGTAACTAGATTAATGAATTATGACAAGCAACCAGCCTTAAGAATTTTGTTAGTATATGTATTTAGTATATCAGTAGTATACTAATATGTATGGATATCTGTAAAGGGATTTCAAAGCACCATTGTATTCTTTAATAGTTAAACATTCATGCTCTCCAATAACATCTAAATTAAAAAGTTGTATATTTTAAAAATATATAACCGGCCAGGCACAGTGGCTCATGCCAGTAATCCTAGCGCTTTGGGAGGCCGAGGTGGGCAGATCACCTGAGGTCAGGAGTTTGAGACCAGCCTGATGGACATGGAGAAACCATGTCTCTACTAAAAATACAAAATGCATGGTGGTGCATGCCTGTAATTCCAGCTACTTGGGAAGCTGAGGCAGAAGAATCACTTGAACCCAGGAGGCAGAGGCGGAGGTTACAGTGAGCCGAGATCACGCCATTGCACTCCAGCCTGGGCAACAAGAGTGAAACTCTGTCTAAAAAAAAAAAAAAAAATATATATATATATATATATATATATATATAAATACATGTATATAACTGAAACATAGACCCTACCTATATTTTCACTAAATCTGCATTGGTTGTATCCAAATTGTTTACAGCACAGTAGGCAAATTCGTGATCTTTGGTGGTACACTTAAGTTTTGTTTCATTTAATTGCTTATTTGCTTGTTTTTTTTTTAAGGTCATGTAAAAAATCTCATTCAAAATAAGGCCATAATGCTTATCTGAATTTATTTCTCCTTTTTGAAGAAAAGGGAGAGTACTTTCCCAACAGCTAGTTAATTCATACCTGAAAAGTAATAGTAGGCTCTCTGATAAAAGGTTCTAGACAGATGCAAATTATCATTATAAATTTAGATGAGTAATTGCAAATATTTTGCCTGCTGAAGGGTTGAAATTTTCCCAGTAAAGTTAGACATTATGTCATTATACTGATGTAATATTCTTTTTATATAACAGATCATTTTTCAAAGTAAGCAGTCTTAAGCCTAATAATTTAGGGAACTAAAGAATGCTGATCTTTTAGAATTTAACCTGTAAAGTGCCAACTGAAGTAGTCTTAATAAACTCTGTATTTGAATTGCTGTTATATTAATACTGCAGGATTCTTTATATTTACCTATTAGCCAATGTGTATATGTGTGTGTATGTCCATGAGGATGCTAATTTAATTTTAATTTAATTAATTTTAGCAATTTTAAATTAATTTATTTAATTTTATCATATATCTGTTTATGTATTAACAGTGATGTGTCATCTAACAATAGGGATACATTCTGAGCAATGAGTCGTTGGGCAGTTTTGTCATATGAACATCATAGAGCATATTTATACAAACCACGACCTATTATTGCTCCTACACTACAAACCCGTACAGCATGTTACTGTACTGAATACTACAGGCAGTTGTAACACAATGGTAAATATTTGTGTATCTAAGCATATCTAAACATAGAAAAGGTACAGTAAAAATATGGTATGTAATATTATTAGACCACCATTGTATATGCAGTCTATATTTGACCAAAATGCCCTTATGTGGCACATGACTATATTTATGTGTATGTATACACACACGTACACATTTAATATACAACTGGTGGGAATGTGAATAATTTTTATAAAGAAGAGTTTAGCATATGTATTAATACCCTTAAGGAAAAGCTAGATGTTTTGACCAAACCAGTCTTAGGACTGGTTTCTAATAGTAGGGTTAAAAATATGGAAAAGGGACTAACATGACATTTATAGTTTAGGAAAGTTGGAACACAGTAAATTATCATCAAAAAGGAATGGTTGAATAAATTATGCACATTCATTCAATAGAATGTTATACAGTATTAATGTCATTTTTATATTTAATGACATGAGGAAAATGTTCTTGATAAAATAAATGAAGTAGTAAGAATATTACAGTGTATGCAGTAGGGCCTCATTTGTGTCAAATAAAGTGTGCATATAAATAATACATATATATGCACATATAAAAATATCAATATTGTTTAATTCAGTGGAGGACAAAGGTTAACTTGGTAATTTAAGACAAAATAGTTTTATCCAAATGTAAACATTGTATATCTTGTAGCTTAATTTATGAGTTTCAGTCATTTGTTTCTTATCTTTGTTTCTCTTCCTTCCTCCCCTGGTCCAAGTCTACACTTGGATATGTTGCTCTGCTCATAAGTACTTTCCATGTTTTAATTTATGGATGGAAACGAGCTTTTGAAGAAGAGTACTACAGATTTTATACACCACCAAACTTTGTTCTGGCTCTTGTTTTGCCCTCAATTGTAATTCTGGGTAAGATCATTTTACTCCTTCCATGCATAAGCCAAAAGCTAAAACGAATTAAAAAAGGCTGGGAAAAGAGCCAACTTCTGGAAGAAGGTATTGGAGGAACAATCCCTCATCTCTCCCCGGAGAGGGTCACAGTAATGTGATGATAAGTGGTGTTCACAGCTGCCATATAAAATTCTACTCATGCCATTATTTTTATGACTTCTACATTCAGTTACAAGTGTGCTGTCAAATTATCATGGGTTGAAACTTGTTAAATGAGATTTCAGCTGAATTAGTGATAGAGTTTTCTTTACAAGTTAATTTTCACAAATGTCATGGTTTACCAATATGAATTTTTCTAGTCAACATATTATTGTAATTTAGGTATGTTTTATTTTGCACAACTGTAACCCTATTGTTACTTTATTTCATAATCAGGCAAAAATATTTGCAGTTAATAATATAATATCAAAAACAATTTGGAAACCAGCAGAATTTTAAGCTTTTAAAATAATTCAATGGACATATATATTTTTTGAAGATTAAGTAAGGTTTTAATTATTCAACTTAAAAAGTAGAAATGTATTATTATATGTTATTTTTAAGAAAGGACACATTATGTTAGCATCTAGGTAAGGGTGCATGATAGCATTCTGTATTTCTCTCATAAAATAGGATTCGAAGAATGAAATTAATTGTATGAAGCAATGTGATTATATGAACAGACACAAAAAGACAAATTAAACCTGAAATTATATTTAAAATATATTATGAAATACATACTGATAATGCATACCTCATGAAAGATTTTATTTATTGTGTTACAGAGCAGTTTCATTTTTATATTAATATATGATCAGGAATAGGATTCAGTAACCTTTGGCCTCCAAAAGTACTGTCTCTAATAGAGGACCAATCCTAGAAATTGTTTAATAGTTCCTGCTTAGAATAAAAGTATCAAGTTTGCACACAAGTGGTCTGTCAGCTGATATTTGTAGCACCTTAACCAGTCACCACTTGCTATAGTATGGAATTATACTGATGTTCCTTGAGGGATTGTGATATGTCAGGCATGGTTCTAAGTACCTTACTTGTATTACCACATTTAATACTTAGAACAACCCCATGAGATAGGTAGTTATCTTCATTTTACATATGAGGAACCGAAGGATAGGAAAGTTATTTGTCAAAGGTCACACAGTTAATAAGTGGCAGAGTGAACATTCAAGTCCAGGTAGTCATATTCCAGAGGTCATAGTTTTAACACTAAGTTACAGAGCTCCCACTGCATCCCTATGCATTATGTTCATGATGCCAATCTAGATGCTTGTATAAAGGCACTGACATTGTTTAGAGTGGATTGTGTACACCAAAAAATGTATAAACATATAATAATAATAAATTATTACTGCCTGTAGGGTAATTCGTAGTTACTTACCCTATTCTTGCTTGGAACATGATCCTGGAGACCCATGGCAGTCCAGATGCCTCTCTATGCAATGAAGTACCCTAGCAGTGCTAACAAATCCCTGAGATCACAGTCTTTCAAAAATCTCTGTAGAGCTGGTCTTCTCCTTTTCTCTTCCTGAGAAGTTCTCCTGCCTGCATAACCATTCATTAGGGAGCAGTTTACCAGCATGAAGGATATTAGGGTAAGTGGCTAATTATAAATCTACTCTAGAGACATATAATCATGCAGATTATTCATAAAATTTTTCAATGCTAGCATTCCACATTTAATTGCATTTTGCTCAAACCATAGAATGCCCTACATTCCCTCCACCAACATTTGCTATTTCCTTATTAAAATAGAAAATTATAAACAAGATACAATTATATGCATTCCTCTTCCTGAACTTATCTACATAGGTACTATTGAATCCAGCTGCCAAAAATAAAGACTTTATTTAGTAGAGGCTACCCACCAGTGACTCTTTTCCTACTACTGCACTGTCAGTTTGGAAATTCACTCATGATTCTCTTTTCTCCTCTTGGTGAATTTTATTATCTTATACTTTCTAACTGAGCTCTACATTTTCTTTATTTTAAATATATCTCTCCCCACTTGGTAATCACTTGTTAGTTCTTGGTGGGAATTCAGTTGTGCAATGATAACTTTTATAGGCAAATACCTAAACATTCTATTATAGTGAACTAATGAAAATAACAGCATATTTTCAATATTTTCTTGTTCCTCAAATTCCATTCTGTTAAGACTATGCTAAACAGTTAATGTGAAAATGAAATGAAATATTCCTAAAAGCTAGATGACTATTAAAGTATATATTGTTGCATGTATCTATTAAGTAGCCAATGCTATAAATAAAAATACCACTGTTACAGATAAATGAGGCCTTTATATATGAAAAACAAACTTTTATGAAAACGTACAAAAGATGCATCTGTTGTTTCAAATGGCATCATCTTTTCAGTAGTATAAAAATTGAATAATTTTGAAGTTTTAGAGTAAGTCTTATTTACATTTCTAAATGTTTAAATGCTTTTCTAAAAATGCAAAACTATTAATTGATGTTTAGTTGCTTTATTTTACTTCTATGTGATTATTTTTCCTAATTGTTATTTTTTATAATCATTATTTTTCTGAATCATTCTTCTGGCCACAGAAGTAAGACTGAATTTTGCTATTGCTAAATGTGAGAAAGTGATGATGAGAACTTTGAACAGTGGAGATCTGCTACCTAGTCTGTGTTTTGAGAAGTGCCGCTTAGAAAATTGTAAGAATCTAGAAAAGATACGCCGTCTTAATCCTATGCAAAAAAATAAAATAAATAATTTTTCCCTATGAGGAAAATAACCATAAGCTGTATCATGCTACTTAGCTTTTATGTAAATATTTCATATGTCTCCTCTATTAAGATTTAAAATGATATTTAAATGTGAATATATTCGTGCTCACATTATTTTTCAAAACATACATGAAATTTAGCCCAGATTTGTCTACATGTAAGCTTTTTATTTAAATTGTAAAATATTTAAAAGTATGAATAAAATATATTTATAGGTATTTATCAGAGATGATTATTTTGTGCTACATACAGGTCGGCTAATGAGCTCTAAACTACCTGATTAATTTCTTATAAAGCAGCATAACTTTGGCTTGATTAAGGAATTTTACTTTCAAAAATTAATCTGATAACCGTAACTTAAGGTATATCATACTTTCATTACAATCAAATTATAGAAATTATGTAAAAGGGCTTCAAGAATGTATCCAATTTTTTTGATTATTGATCTCCTATGTAATATGATAAAAACTTAATTCTTCTAAATTACCACTTGCCATTAAGCTATTTCATAATAAATTCTGTACAGTTTCCACCAAAAAAGATTTATTTATGAAATAAAGTTTCTAATGTGATACTTTAAATAAAGTATCATAAATGTAGTAAGTAAATATTTATTTAGGAATACCGTAAACACTGAACTAATTATACCTGTGTCAGTCTATGAAACCCCTGTTTTGAAATAAGTAAACAGCTTAAAATGTGTTGAAATTGTTTTGTAAATCCATGACTTAAAGCAGGATACATATAGTATAACATACCTCACAGTGTTAAGATTTATATTGTGAAATGAGATGCCCTGCCCTCAATTGTTCATCATTCAGTAAAACAAATTCTGATATACATTCAGTACAAATAATTAGCTCTAAATGAAACTGTAGTAATTTCAGTGGAAACTCAATCCGTTCTTACCTTTAAACAGTGAATTTTAAACAGTGAATACTAAAAATGTTTTGTTCAGCCTAACATACTGAGATATTTTTTAACTTTATAAATTATTGAATTTCCATCATCCAAAATTAAGGCAGACTGTATGGATTCTTCCAGTGGCCAGACAAGCTAAATTAAATCACAGAACCAGATGCCTTTGTATGATCTGCAAATTGCCAACTTTAAGGAAATATTCTCTTGAAATTGTCTTTAAAGGTCTTTTGCAGCTTTGCAGATATCCAGACTGAGCTGGAACTGGAATTTGTCTTCCTATTTACTTCTTTAAAAGCTGCTGCCCATTACATTCCTCAGCTGCCCTTGCAGTTAGGTGTCCATGTGACTAGGTGTTGCCCTTGCAGTTAGGTGTCCATGTGAATAGGTGTTGGCCAGTGAGATGAAGTCTCCTTAAAGGAAGGCAGCATGTGTCCTTTATCATCCCTTTATCTTGCTGCTGGGATTGTGGATATAACAGGAGCCCTGGCTGCTGTCCTCAGAGGATCAAGGCCACACCGGAAGAGGAAGGCAGATTAGAGACCAGAAAGACCTGACTACTTCCCTATTTCCACTGCTTTTTCCTGCATTTAAGCCATTGTAAACTGGGTTTGTTATATGAAGTGAAAATTAATCCTGTCTGCCCTTCAGTTCTTTGTCCTGATGCTGTTTAACACTGTTTGAATTAACTAGACTGCAATAATTCTTACTTTTATAAGCTTTCAAAGGATAATGTGCAATTCACATTAAAATTGATTTTTCCATTGTTAATTAGTTATACTCATTTTCTTGCCTTGATTTTTCACTAGATATTTTGTATCTGCTTGGACTATATTGTCTTCTTTTTAACTGTGTGATCAGTAATTACTAAAATTCTGTAATCTCCAAAATATCGCTATCAAATTACCTGCCATGTTTTTATATCATTCTCATAGATCTCCCTTATAAAACAGGTTTGTATTTTAGCATGAAAATTTATATGAGATAATATTTTGAAACTATATCTAAATTTTAGTTATTTAATTCTACTTAGGAAATAAACATTTAAATAAAAAGTACTATTTAATGTTATAACTTCTCTTTTGAAATGTTGTATACAAGTGAATTTTTTTCTCACGGAATAATAATTTCAGTATTGATGAAGGCCTTCTAATACTTTTCTGAGTTACTTGTTTTCAGAAGCATTCAGAAAGCAATAGATGTGATAGTTTCGGAGGGGTTTTGTTTATTTTTACCAAAGTAGTAATTTAGAAAAACCTCCATTTATGTTTATTTTGTTACATTATTTCATTTTACTAGCATTCATTAAGCATCGTTAAATCAGGACACATACAATATTCAAGTTATTCTGTAAACTCCCTGGTAGCAGAAATTTTGTCTTATTTACTATTAAATCCCCAGTATCTAGTACAATATGGTCTATGATAAATACAAAAGAGATATAATAAATCATTACTCATTTTTATAGAAAATTATGTTTTTATCACCTCGCATCCATGCAGCCATGCCTACTTCCCCTTGCCTCCTCCTCATGCCTTGCCTCCTGGCCAGTGGCCTAGTGCTACCCTCTTGTCGTAAAGAGGAGTTCCTGCTGCTGCTGCTGCTGCTGCTGCTGCTGCTGCCATGTTGAGGAGTCCTGTCCACTGTGACACTGACAAGGAGAAACTGACCTTTGTGCTTGTGCACCAGCTCTGTCCGTGGAGGTTCTGGCTTTCCCAGCTGCTGCCTGGAAATGCTTAGGTGCCAAGATGCTGAGAGTACGATTTCCAGGTAAAATACAGGCCTCTCAGTTAAATTTGAATTGCAGACAAATAAGAAATTAATTTTTATTATCAGCACTGACCTTTTAAAAATTTTTCTAAATCTGGCAACCCTATTTAAGGAGTGAACTTTCATCAAGGAGATATAGCACAAGATGAAGCTAGTAGATAAATTCTCCCTACCTTTCCCCAGATAGGCTGTTCTAAAGTGCAACAATTCATAAGACCTTCATGAAAACATCCTCAAAGACCGAGCAGTTAACTGCGCTTGTTGCAAAGCTGTGACCAGCTCAGTAACACCTGCATTTGTGTTCCCTTCTCCTACTGTCTCACTTCCATTTTTTTCCTCACTTCTGTTTCTCAGAGAAAGCCCTCCCCATAGAGTGGCAGCAGGTGAATGTTGGTGTTGTTTATTTTTGGCAGACTTTGGGAACCTACACTAGAGCAGTACTTTAGGTAGTGGATTCTTCTAATGGGAAGTAAAATGAGATAAATGATGACTTTGAGAAAGTCAGGCACAGGACCCTGCAGGCTCAAAATCCAGATTTGTTGAGACCCCTGAGAGTAGATAAATCCCTCAGGGGCAGATTCACATTAATCAAATGTACAGTGATACACCGTAAAATCAGAATAGTAAATTAGCACTACTCTGTGAAATATCAATGTCCTTTAGGCATGAATACCATTTGTACCTTAAACATATTCTATTCTTAAATATGTTGTTAATAAGAATTCAAGTTATAATTCAAAAGATATTGAGATCTGTTATGGGCTGAACTGTATTTCCTCAAAATTGGTACATTGAAATCCTAACTCTCACACTACCTCACAATGTGGCTGTATTTGGAGATAGGATCTTTAAAGAGGTAAAGTGAGGTCATAGAGTAGGGTCCTTCTCCAGTATGACTGGTGTCCTCATAAGAAGGGGAGATTAGGAATCAGGCATGCACAGAGGGAAGACCATGTGAAGAAAAGGGGAGAAAATGGCATGCCAAAGAAAGCTGCCTCAAGATGAAACCAATCCTGCCAACACCCTAGTCTTGGACTTCTAGCCTCCAGAACTGTAACAAAATAAATTTCTGTTGTTAAAGCCACCCAGTCTGTGGTATTTATTACAGCATCCCTTGAAAACTAATACAAGGGTCACAGAATCAGAACAAGTCAAATTAGATAGAGAACTCAAATAACTAATGTCATTGGAACAAACTTGTCTGAGTAATCTTGCTCCACAATAAAGACAGTTCTATCCTGGGGTTATTTCACTATAACTACCCACCATTTAAACACAATAAATAGTTCCAAAATCTCAGGAACATTTTTCATTTCATGTAATTATTCCCATGTCATGGAACTGAAGCTTTGATTGGGTAAAAGTAGCTCTTTATTGCCGGGTCTGTCCCACAGACCCTGGCCGATGGAAGAAATGAGTATTCAGATCTTCACCGGGACTCTGCAAAACCTTCCGACCTTTCAGAATGTTTATGTCCTTTCCCTGTAGTTTTTCCCACCACTGCGACGGATAAATTCTTCCTTTCACTTATTGTAATTTATTTACTTTTTCACTAAACATAAGTAATTCCTGCAGCTTCCTACTTAAAAATCACTTGCAGTTTGGATTACTGTTAGTATATTTTTCATTAGAATGGTTGACTTCAGAGGTAGCTATTCTTTTACTTTTGTTTTCTGTTCCACGTAATTATTCTTCCCAGATCTGCATTAATGATTCTGTTGGAAAGAGGTAATTACTTTTGTTTTGTTTTTAGGCTTTGTTTCTATGCTGTCAATCTGAAAAAAGTTTTTTAAAACAGTGAAGTATAAGCTGGGAGTGGTGGCTCCTGCCTGTGATCCTAGCACTTTGAGAGGCCACATGGGTAGATCGTTTGAGCCCAGGAGTTTCAACTCTAACCCAGGCAACATGGTGAAAGCCCATCTTTACAAAAAAATAGCAAAAATTAGCCAGACATGGTAGCATGCACTTGTAGTTCCAGCTGCTCAGGATGCTAAGGTCGGAGATGGGAAGTGGGAGGATCACCTGAGCCCAGGGAGGTTGAGGCTGCAGCGAGCTGAGATCATGCCATTGCACCCCAGCCTAGGTGACAGAGTGAGACCCTGTCTCTGACTCAGGATAAACATTTGCTTGAACATTTAGAACATCTGGCATTAGTTTAGAGACTATCACATTCACATGTAGTCTAAAACACTAGTAGACATGTTCTTAATTCATGAATATATAATTATTCATATGATTACAAATAATTATAATTTTACTAAACATTGGTAATTAGGGAGAGTACAAACAAAAAGTCAGAAGGAAATAGAACCACTATTTGTAATATATTTATTTTAAAACATATTTAGCTTCGTTACTTTTAAAAGTAAAAATTGTAAGTCAATATATTATTAAAACTTCTAGTTAATCTTTAAGTCTACAAGTGCTACTCAGAAATTGCAATTTGTAACTTAACAGATATTAAATTCTGCAGAATCGTTATCAGATTTAAGCACTTGTATACGTATAACTCATTTCTCATGTTTCTCTACTATTTATTTTTTTGCTGAAATAATTTACTCCTTTCACCCTTTCATCCTTCTGGGTTTTGGTGTCATAACAGAAGAATCAATGAATAATGATTAAAATTAAATAAACATACCTAATATAAAAAATTAAAGCTTTTATGAAGCTTAATCTTTGTACACTTACCAAGAGAAAAAATAAACCCAGTATTATTTGGGAACAATGGAGTTGGAAAATCCACAAATTGAATTAATAGTGAAAGCCAGTTTTATGGAGGCTGTTAAAACTACTCCAAAGCAATAATAATGACAACACACACACACACACACACACACACACACACACACACACGAGCAGTGCTTCTCCAATTTTGAATGTGTACTAATCACCTGAGGATCTTGTTAAAATGGAGATTCTGAGTCAGTAGGTCCACCATGGGGCAAGAGAGCCTCCATTCCTAACAAATCCCCTAGTAATGCCCAAGGACCCCATTTTGAGTAGCAAGGACCTGGAATATTTTTACCTTACTTTGGATAACTTACAAAATGCTTTAATTTGGCTTCAAATAAAAATAAAAAGTAATTTATAAGCCTTGAAATCTTTTAATGAACATTTTTTGAGTAACTAGTATGATCTGGACCAGGAAGTCCCAAAGTATGTTCTCCAGACCAATAGAATCAACATGTTTGAAAACTGTTTGAAAATGCGTAACCTTGGGCCTCACCCAGACTTACTGAAGCAGATACTCTGCAGGTAGGGCTTGAGATTCTGTTTTAAATACCTCCTCAGAGGATTTTGATACACATTAAGTTTTGAAAACTACTGCTCTAGACAGTATAGTGACGGTCTGGGGTGCGTATCACAGTGACTTTCAAGAATCTCAGTACAGTAGGAAGGGGTCCAGTTGCTGAACCAGTTGATATCATTAAGTATGTGATGAGTACAAAAACAGAATGACAGACAAGGTGGCACCCAACACAGAAAAGAAGGATGTAAAGATTTCCTAGAAAATGTCATGTGAACTGAGTTTCATAGGGATTCGCCATCTGAAGATGGTGGCACGTACAACATAATGCAAATGTTATACAGGAAGAAACCTGCTGGCATCTTTGGAAAACTACAAGTAATTCACCCAAGATGGCTGGCTGTGGGATATTTGAGGACCCTTCCATCCTTCCATACCATTAGAGCTAGAAAAAAAAAATAATACAAAGCAGAGTCTATTAACTTGCCAAGCAAGAGAACTCACTCCATGAAGAATTTCACTGAGGAGAGAGAGTCAGGGGTTTTTAAATGTTAGAAGTGGGGAGCTCATGGGGCTTATGCTAATTAAGCATTGGAAACTGGAACTCTGGATATAGGGCAGAATGAATATATAGGTCTTCACATAGTTGGTTACATAAAATAAATACCCCATTGTTCACTAGTCAGGAAAGTCTCTTCAGCTAGGTCCATTGAGGAAGGTGCCTGTCTAAGGTCACTGAGGCTTAAAGACC